CGGCACGGGGGCAGCCAAGTCCGCGTTGTCCACAGTGCGCGGGGGAAGAGAACGGTGCTGCCCGCACCGCCGGCTCCCGCAGTCCTACGTGAAAGGACGAGCGTGCTGCGGGGCGTGGGGGTGCAGCTGGCACGGGCTGGGGTTCTCAAAAATGGTTTGCCTTCCCAAAATGTCCTGAAAAGTTTCCGGCTTAGCGTTGAAAGGTAGAAGCCTGCCTAGTAGAATAACTCTCGAGGTGTTGCACGGTGCAGGTTTTCTGTACGTAGGTCTGTGGGGAGAATAGCATAAGTAGTATGTAAAGATGTGTTTTAGAAACAAAGAGGGGAAAAAATGGCTTGGATTTGATTTAGTCATATAGTTTCTTTGTGTGCTTCTGTCTTGTACTGTCTCTCATACACGGCAAAGCCTAGACTGTCATCTGCCTTTTCCTATAGGCCAGAGTTGTGATTGATGCCCGTTACAAGGATTCTGGTCAGGAGCCTATCTCTTACGTAGTTGGTGTTTATGGGATTGTGGCAGCTAAAGAAAGTCGTGGGGGTTTTACATCTAAGTTGTTTCAGTGCCTTTAACATAGGTATCAAACCATATTTTACTGATGCCAAAGATGACTGTTATTTCTACATCCTTGTACCCAATTCACCGTTTTATCTTTTTCTTGCAGTAATAAGTGTGAGACATTCCCGTTGGCTACACGGCTTAATATTGTGTGCGTGGGGCTCTCTCCAGATGGAAGTCTTGCCATACTAATTGATGAAGGTACTTTCATAAAGGAGGCATTTGTTTCATAAAAGAATGAAATAACAATACAGGCTGAAGAGGAAAGTCTGTATTGCTAGGTATTCAACCTTAACACAAATTACAAGTGCTCTGCTTTGAAAATTATGTTAGAATTTCAGGGGAAGGTGTCTTTATTTACAGCACTTAAAAATAACTTATTTATAGAATTTAGCAAGTGACTTGTAATTTTGATTGTATGTTTCTTCTTAATAACGTTACGCACACTGTCTTGAAAAGTTTCTGAGGAGGTACTTTTTTTTTTTTTTCTTCCTTTTTTTTCTCCTCCCCTCTTTAAGGAAAGAAGCTAAGCTTGCTAGGGTTGTGGTTTCTTTGGGAACTGGATTATTTCCATGATCCTTCTTTTTCTGCCCTTACAGAGGGAGCTGCCTTGCTTGTCAGTTTGATCGGTAAATGTGTGATACATCACTTTTATTTTCACAAGCCAGTTCACAGTGTCAGCTTTTCCCCTGATGGCAAGTAAGTAAAATGTGCATGCTTTAGTACAAACCAACAGAAATTACCCCATAAACTCGTTGTAATTATTAAGACGTTCTGACCAGTCTGGAGATGATACCTATTGATTAACATAGGGGAGATTTTTTGCTGATCAGAGTCACTTTATCTGTAAAGTTGAGAGGGAAAGGAAGGAGGAAAAGCAAAGCCTTGGAAACAGATACTAGCTGGAAAGTTGCCTGTCACAGATGTTGTCTGTCTATGGTGGAACTCTTAGAAACATAGAAGATTTGCTGTGAGTCTTCGCTGTCCTTACGTATCGTGGGTAAGGTGAAAGAGCCCACAGGAGGGACAATCAGTGCTTCAGAGTTGCACGATGGCACTCGTGGCAATGCAGCTTCACTGCTGACTTGGGTTAGTCTAAGCTAACTGCTTAGACAGTAGCTGCGCTACTGAAAGAGGCAGTTCTCTGAATCAAGTGCCTCTTTTCACGTCCCTTGACTGCATGGTCACTGCGTGGTGACAGAAATGTTAGAGGTGTCAGAAGGGTGAGAGGAAAAAGTGCGGAGTTCGCCTTTTGGCGGCATTCCTCAGTTGGATTGACTTAAAGTGGTCATGAATGAGATTTTGCTTGATTTTGCTTGAAAGTTGGAGTCACAGTTCTGTGTTAGGGAACTGTACTGGCAACAGGACCAGATCAGAGGATATGTGTAACAGGGATGCAGATGCTTTGTGTTTGTGAAAGTGGCCAATATATGGAGGTGAAGAGAGGTTGAAATAGAATATCCTGTTTTGAATGTTTGAACTTTTCCTTCCTTTGTGAGAATTAGAGAATAAATATTTCATTATTCAACTTAAGTGATTTTTTCTGAAGGTCTTCTGTTTTATAATGCGTCAGGTATACCTGCGTTCATGAAGCTGGAGGATAGTATCAATCTGCAAATAACTTTCTGTTTTTAATTCAAAAGCAGTCCATATTTATCACTTCAGTAACGCAGAAACCTTTTTAATATTGTCTTGTTTTGTTGTATTGCAGTCTGTACTGAAAAATTGTTTGCTTTAACAGCTTTGTGTGCAATTATACTTTTTTCCCCCCATATGACAGGAAATTTGTAATTACAAAAGACAATGTTGCTCTTATGTACCATGCTCCTGGGAGGAAACGAGAATTTAATGCGTTTGTTCTGGACAAAACTTATTACGGTCCATATGATGAAACAACTTGTATCGACTGGACTGATGATTCCAAGTGAGTTGTTAAACTAAAGCACTGTCTACCTGCTCACATTGTTAATATTTGTATGCATGTTACAGTCCATTTTCTTTGGCCTGAAGTATTGTACTAGCTTTAAAAATTCTTTTTGGCTCTTCTGTTTCTAATTCTATCTTGAGTTAAAAAAATACTATAATTAGGCAGACCAGAAAGTATAAAATACGCATGTGTTAGGGATCAACAATGCATTCTTGCTTAAAAATGCCTAGTGATCAATAAAAGGAACATATCTCAGGAATGTGAGCATGGTTGACCTTTTGAATGTGTTTAATCCCACCTACCTTTGCTAGAGTTGCCAACCTCAGTTTACAACTGTTGTGTGTAAAGTGGTGACTGGTGTCTTCCCATTCAGAACGTTCTCCACCCAGTGAAGAGTTTTGCAAACCAGTGTTCTAATTCAAATTGCCTTTTCTTTTGTAGGTGTTTTGCAGTAGGGAGCAAGGACATGTCTACATGGGTGTTTGGAGCAGAACGATGGGCAAACTTGATCTACTACTCGCTTGGAGGGCATAAGGATATAATAGTAGCCTGCTTTTTTGAAGAGAACAGTCTAGATGTATGTATAATCACACAACATTCTTGAATTTTAATATTAAAATAGTTGAAGCAGAATCTTACCTGTAGGTAAGGATGCTGACTATTTTGATAATATCTCAGAATTTAGAAAATGCGTAAGTAGCATGTCTCTCGGCTCCTCTGCTGTGATCAGGAGTTTACAATTCCGTGAACATTTGAAGAAGTAAACTTTAAAAGGAGAGTAAGTTATTTAAAATTGCTCCTCCAAAAAGTTATAGTTGTAAATATGAAAAAAAAAATTAGCTGTAATGCCAACTGGTAACCAAATTGCCTTTGGTCTTTTCAAAATTTCTCTGAGGGCAGGTAGAGTAAATCACTAGTTTCTCAGGACAAGAGAATTTTCCAGATCAAAGCACTTTGAATTCCAGAGGTCGAAGTAATATATTATCCTAGAGTGCAGACTTGCTAACCTTTCTGCAATTCTATATTCGTAACAAGACAGCAGAGTACAAAACATAGGTATTACATGATAATCGTATGTTTGTGTTTGTATTCTAGCTGTACACAATTAGCCAGGATGCAGCTCTCTGTGTGTGGCAGTGTGATACAGAGCTCGATGGTTTGAAGCCCATGCCCCCTAAAGATGCAGCTAGGGAAGAGAATGCAGAAAAAAATGATGAAGAGTTTCTTGAAGAACCGAAGGGTGAAGAAATTCGTGGGAAAGCCAATCCAAATGAGCAAGAGACTAGAGATAAGGTTAAATATTCACGTGTTGCAAAGTAAGTGATTTTCAGTTTTCCAAAGACAGAGTTGTTATGAGGAATTACTATATTGGGCTTTTTTTCACCCCTTATCACTCATGCAAAGCAGTATAAAACTCTGCCCAGGATTTAGTAATTTACTATAGATACCATTTTAAATAGTTTCAGTAGAACACCTTTTTGTCATATCTTGACTATATGAAGGGCGATACCCTTCACCTTCAGAGTAACAAGTCAGTGTAATTTTAGTAATATAAGAAATACTGACTTATGGTGTATGTTTTAGTGTTTGAAACTCAAAAAGTGTAAGGAGATCATTAGTACAGTATCCTCTAAGTATAGAGGAGAAGAGATTGGTTGACTTCAAGAGGTGCCAGCAACGTTTGATAAAGATAGCTCATCAGCCTCTCTGGTAAACTACTTGGAGATGCCTTCCTGAAGGATCTCCCTATCTGTCCACATCAAAGGAGACTTCTATTACAAAGAATAATCCAGTTTTAAGATAGTCACAGCATTTAGCTTTGCTTGAAGAAGGATAACATTCATAGGCAATCTTTTGTCAGTGAAGTGAGGGAGAGACAGAATGCATGTAGGGGCCAGTTGGGAACACCTGACATCAGGCTTCTGTTCTCAGTTTTTCTGACTGTAAAGGAAGCATAAAGAAAGTACCCTACCCCAACCCAGGTTGGAATTAGCCTCAGGGAACATCACTACCAGACTGAAGGAATTTGGAGCGTACAACTCTTGGATAATGTTCAGATGCTCTTTTATTTGATCATCATGTGGTGCTTATCTGTTTAGTTCCAGTAAGAGAGATAGCTACAAAGAAACTGCAGAAACCTTCTTCACCAGGTGTATAATATTTATGACTTGCTTCAATTCCTTCCTCTGTAAGATGACTCACAAATAGGATAACCAGTGAATTCATGAGTCACCCGTATTGGCATTAGATGGTTGAAAGGAAATGCACAACGCGTTCCCCTGAGGTTAACTTTTAGTCCCTTTCATTGCATGTGATCAAGTGTCACTTTTGATAATCAGATTACTGTAGCAGCTGTAAACATTGAGGAAAAGAAGAGAATAGGCTTTCACTAGCTATGTAAAGTACATATATTTAGCAATTCCTGGAACTACTGCTTTTTAGTTTTATTGTAGGATACCTTGATGAAAATATTTGACCTATATTGAAATGCAACTATAACAGCATCCTTTTCTTCTGCATTGTTTGCTTTATTTCTTACTTCTTTGATGCCAGGTATTTTTTCAATAAAGAGGGAGACTTTAATAACCTGACATCTGCAGCTTATCACAAGAAAACACACCTTTTAGTCACTGGTTTTGCCTCTGGAATCTTTCACCTCCATGAGCTTCCAGATTTCAATCTGATCCACTCCTTGAGGTGAGCTATGGGATTGTGGTTGTTTTTTGGTTTGGTTTTGTGTGGGGGGTTGGTTTGTTTGTTTGGCTGAGAACACACTACGTTTAGTAGTGAAGGATGAGTAATCAGAGCACAAAAATCTTAAACGTGAGTATCTATTTAGTATTGTAATTTCTGGAAGGGCAGAATCATATTTAGATTTAAAATACCATACAACTCCATTCCATAGCTTATTATGGAAAAGTGAGGTCTAAATTGGGAACTCCTGAGTAGTTAGTTGTCGGCTATAGATTTCTTCAATGCTTTGGACTTCATGTTGTCAGTTTCTTTGTAGAAAATAAAGATAGAATCTGAAAATAAAAGTTCTGTGTATGTAAAATTATCTGTAAATTGTTGGTAAGTTGAAAGATAAAACCATAATTCTTTTCCATGGCTGCATGGTGCAAGCTAAAGAATGCATAATTTCCCTGTATAAATAAAATACTACTTTTTTTTTTTTTAATTGAATGTGGGGAGTTTTACTTGGTGCTGGCAAGTATGTCTTTGGGATGTAGATAGTCTCTCTTCATTCCGAATAAGGCAGTATTGTCTGTTTGATGTTTTTGACTATAGTAAAGGAAAGAACATGTATGCTGCTTTTGATGTTACAGTGATACAGAAATTCAGTAAAGTCGTCAAAGACTTGCTTGAACAGAGGAAATAAACCCTAGATTTGAAGTTTTATCACAGAAGGCATGAAAACACAAGTTTGTTTATTGGGTAATTCTCTTATTTCAGTATTTCAGACCAAAGGATAGCCTCGATTTCTATCAACTGTACTGGTGACTGGATTGCCTTTGGATGTTCAGGTTTGTAAATTTTTTTGGTCTCTGTGTGTTTTGTGGCTTGCATTTGCAGAGTCTCATCATTGTGTTCATAATTCTGGTTAATTCTTCTCATGTGTTTATAGGTTTGGGTCAGCTCCTGGTGTGGGAATGGCAAAGCGAGTCCTACGTGCTGAAGCAGCAGGGACATTTCAACAGCATGGTTTCGTTAGCATATTCTCCAGATGGACAATACATAGTAACTGGAGGGGAGGATGGGAAAGTAAGTGATACAGTGTCACTGAAATATGAACTTAAGTCTTAATAACATAGTAAGCAGCTTGAATTTCCGTTTTATGTAGAAAGCTCTGTTAGTGTAACCGATACATATTTTTCTTAATATAAAGTAATAATTTTTTGTCCTCGCTTAAATGTTTTGATTTTTCTCTCTAGAGCACGTATATATTTTGATTTGCTGTTGCTAGTATCCTCTGCAAATTGCATCACGTATGCTTTTTAGCAGATCATTTTTTAATTATTATAGTTGCAGTCACCATAAACACGAAAAGATCTAATTCATCAAATGTTAATTTATGTATGCAGTCACCGTAAACACAAAAATATCTAATTCATCAAATATTAATTTATGTATGCTTGTAGTGTTTCCATGATACTTTGGGATGAATGAATGTCAGCGAATTCATGCCCTTTTAATAAGTGGCTTTGATGCAAAATTAATTTCAAATTATTTATGAAAGTGCAATTCCTAAACAGATTTTTCTGAAATGTACCATTGCAGAAGCTTGCTATTTAAAAGAAAAATTAGCTTCTCTCCTCATGGTTGACTTGTATTGAAGTGGTAGGCTAGGTGTACGTGTACTTTTTTTTTAAAGATGTTTTGTGGAGTAATCCCACAATCTCTTGGCACATCAATGGGACAAAGATAGTATCTTGTTTCCTATCAAAATTTCTGAATGTCAGAAAAAAGACCTGCCACTTCATGGTTTCTGCCATTCAGATTTAAAATTGGCCAAACCCCAGAAGTCTCAAACTGTAGGTAGCTAAACGCATAACATTTTTGTTTGAAAAAAGATTGAAATAACATCTTAATTGTAACTTCTGGAATGGCTTCGCAGTTGGTTTTGAATTTGACACTTGTCTTATTAGTGGACAGTCCAAAGCTTGGGAGCCTGAGATGCTCACCAAGTGCTACAGCTTTCCTTGAAAATTAGCTTTGTTTTAAATTTTTTTTTGTGTCTCTCTCCACTTAGATTTTCATGTGGTATATGTGTCTTTAGGGGTTTAATGATAAGCTCTGGCCCTGTTTGTCTCATTTGCACAGAATTCCTCACTGATGGTACTGAAAGTCCTTTATGCTCTTGCAGAGTTTTAGGACTAACTTTTCTTTACTCTTCTGCTGCCTTACCCTTACTTTCTCTCTGAACTGATGATGGAGATGCTAAGAAGGCTTTTCTTGTCTCTCTTGCAGGTGAAAGTGTGGAACACTTCAAGCAGCTTTTGTTTTGTCACTTTTACAGAACATACCAGTGGTGTAACTGCTGTGACTTTTACTTCCAACGGTTATGTCATTTTGAGTGCTTCCCTAGATGGAACAGTGCGTGCCTTTGATCTACACAGGTAACTCTTTATAAAGCTTTTGTGTCTCATTTAGTCTTAAGCTTTCACCCCCCAAAATACAGCAAGCTGCTGATTGCTTGTTTCAGGTTGAAGTTGCACAAATGTGAGTACTGCTTTATTGATTTTTGGTTCAGCCTTTGATTCAAATTTAGATAGTAATTAGGAATCCTGTCACTTCATCCAGTTTCTGTAAAGAAATTCTGGAAGAACTTTTCTCAGAGAAGCTGGAAATCCATTAAGATCATTGTCTGGCTCTACTACTCACATGGGGAGAAGGCATCCGTCTAACAGAACGTTTGCCATAGTTTTAGTGGTTGAGCCATTGTAATACAACTGTGTACAGAACTGGATGTGTAAACAAGCCCGTGTTTTCTAAAGAATGAACGTACGCTATGTAATAGAAGAAAGCTCTTCTGTTTGAGTATTTTTGTCTGTTACTTCTGCAGAGTTAATAGTACCTTTTTTGAATCTTGGAATCATGCTAAGGCATTGCATCTAATTTTATACGAAGAATATTTTTTCTGTGGATAGCTTAAAAGACTTTTTTTAAGTCTTTTACAAGTAAAAGTAACTTTTACAAGTAAAATGAAATCCTTTTTTAAATATGTTCGTAAAACACGTTTAAATCTACCTAAAATGTTCTCATAATTTATTTTCACGTTTACAACAGGTACCGCAATTTCCGTACCTTTACATCTCCACGACCAAGTCAGTTCTCTTGTTTAGCTGTGGACTCCAGCGGTGAGATTGTGTCAGCTGGTTCCCAGGATTCCTTTGAAATATTCATCTGGTCAATGCAGAGTGGAAGACTGCTGGATGTAAGGACCTACAATGTTGGAGGGCTTGAATTTAACACATGATACAGATCGTGATGATACTAAGTAACTTTGGGATTAGTCGGAGGGTTTTAATACAACATGAAGTGTTTTGTTATATTCAAGAACTGGAGCTACACTAGGTTATTCTCAGCAATTTTTGATTTATTGCATGGAGGCCATCCTGGATTTGAGTGAGAAATCGTTTTTAGAATTTTTGAGTAATGAGCTCTTCCTAGCTGATGAAGTAACATCAGTATTGCCGAGCTAACACATGGGCATGTGAGTCTTTCCTCCAGTAGTTATTCAGAGATGTTCTTTTCTATATATTTTCTGCAGGTAATGAAGAAATTGTACGTGCTGTCCTAAGATCGATACAGATTTCATGGACAGTTTTGCTGGAGCAGAGCAGGGACATGATTTCTTGTGTAGCAGGTTTTTATTGTGTAGGGCGAGAAAACTATTAAGTTAAATCCCCACTGTCTTGCTGCTAGTTTGAAATGCATTCTCTTGAGAGTAGATGTAATAAAGGAGGGACACTACTTCTGAGCAAATCAAGCTCACTTGCTAGTTCCAATTCTTAAGCATAGTGTACACCTTGCACAAGTAGATGAACTCAGCGATTCCTGTGTTTAATTTGGCATAGCTGTTGAATACAGATAACTAATAGTAACTCAGCATATACTTGAGTGGCTCTCCAGAGTTTTGAGTTTAGTTTCTTTCCTTGATTTCTTCTGAGAGGAGTAGGAGCTCCATGCCATAAAAATCATGTATTATTCACAGTTTTTATTAGTGTTTTTTCTTAAATGTTTTCAGCTGAGTTCTCAGAGCAATGACTTGCTTTTTCATAGTTGGTGTGATTGTTCTGATAAGAAGGGGGGAAAAAAGCACACCGTGTTCCTAAGTCTTGGTCTCTAAAGAGACTATATGTGTGCGTAAGAGTGTCTAGCACTTCTGTGAATTTTTTTAAAACTTCTGAAAATAAAAAGTTGAGAATCACTGATATGTATCATGCTACATGTCCAAAAGTGACCTCAAGCATGTGTGGACAAGTTAGGCATGGTTTCATTGTTACATTTAGAGTTTACTGAATGCAGACTACATGTATTTCAGTTTCTTTCACCTAATTCCATTTTATCTTTTCTTCTTTTATTAGGTCTTATCAGGTCATGAGGGCCCCATCAGCAGTTTGTCCTTTAACCCAATGAAATGTGTTCTAGCTAGTGCCTCTTGGGATAAAACGGTCAAGTTATGGGATATGTTAGACAGCTGGAGAACTAAGGAGACACTAATATTGAACTCAGATGGTAACCTTTATTTCATCTTATATCAAATATAAAAATATTATCAAAATATTTCAAGAATGAACAACAGAACATGTCAAATACAGCAAGCCTCATTCTTGGTAATGAAAACCAAAAGTTGAGATAGTTCTCTATAGTACTTAGCAGTGCAAGAAATCTTTTATATTTAATACTAGCTCTAGCTTTATGATTAGCCGAACATTTGTATGTTGTCCAGAGAAGACGTACAGTCATACTTGTTACTCTTAAGCTTTTTCTGATAGTTGAGATAAGATCCTAGAAAAATATAGGGTATTTTCTTAGGAAAAGATCTGACTGCATTTTTAACTGTTAATTAAATTCTTTGCAGTTCTTGTTGTTGCTTTCCGGCCTGACGGCAAGGAGCTTGCAGTTGCTGCTTTGAATGGACAGATAACATTTTGGGATCATGAAAATGCAGTGCAAACTGGCTCAATTGAGGGAAGGCATGATCTTCAGATGGGAAGGAAGGAGCTTGATAAAATTACTGCCAAACAAGCAGCCAAGGGAAAGTAAGTAAATGAGATCGCAGTGAAAAGAGGGTGCCACACTGGCTTTTGCTTTTGAATTGTTTCTTTCCATTTGGTTTTTACGTGAAGATTTCAGAGTGCATCTGCTGTTCAAATATTTTGGTTCTGATGTTGGATTTTAAAAGACTGCCTGACTTGACATCTGGATGGATCCTTGTTGTCTTTTGCTGTGTTCACCCACTGATCAGCATCATTCTGAGCATCTGTTCTTTTTCGTCAGTTATAAACGTGGGTTGCCAGCATAATATTAAGCTTCTCGTGACAAGTTGTTCATTGGCCAAATGTGATAGGTTTTTGAGTGGATATCTTATTACGTAGGTACTAGTATGTAACTACTGGTATGTAGAAACTGTTACATTTTTTAAAAAAAGTAAATACGCTGTGGGTTTTATTACATGTTACTAGTCATGTGAAGTAATGTTTAAAGGCAAGTTGAATTTGTGTGCTGTCAAAAAGCATAATATAGAAGTCATGTGTTTCATTTTTCTCTTTTTCCCTTGAGTCTCTCTTTTTTTTTTTCTGTATTGCTCCCCCTCAAAACAAAATGAAAAAAGGAAAGAATGACTTTTTGGGAAAAGGAAAAAAAGAAGTATTTTTTTGGTGATGAGCTCTCAACCATGTCTTTAAAACATGCCATGACGTTGGCTTTTCTCTAGCTCTTCTGACCATCCTTAGTGTTGTGTAGGGTGTAGTTGAGAGCTCATTCATTGAGCTGCGACTCAGAATCAGAAGTATGGAAGTACTTCAAAAAGCTGTTGAAGTTCTAAATTGTTTGTGATTCATAGTAAAGCACCAAGTACTTGTTTGTGGTAAATGGTTTTGTGTGTTAAGTACATATTGTGTGAATGAAGATCTCCACTTTTTCCATGGAATGGTCTGTGTCTTCACACTGTACTCATGTCTTTTAGCTCAGATGTGGCAGTGAAATTAACTACTTTCTCTTTTTCTTTACTAGATCTTTTACTACTCTGTGTTACTCAGCAGATGGTCAGTCTGTTTTGGCGGGTGGATTGTCAAAATTTGTCTGTATATATAATGTCAAGGAACAGATTCTTATGAAAAAATTTGAAATCTCATGCAACTTTTCTTTAGACGCAATGGAGGTATGTGACCACAGAGGTCAGGTTTTTTCATTTCCCCTCTCCACCCCCAATACTTTGTTTTGGTGTAACATCTCATTTAAGTGGGATTCATGAATGTTTTGTTAAGCATGGGTTCATTTTCTTGGTTTTGTGCGGGAGAGTGCTAAGGAAATACTTCTCGGGAAACAAAATTAATTCCTGACATGCAGCTAACTAGAGTCTTGCCAGATTGCAATGTGTTTGTATTGAATGAGCAGAACTCTTAAGCATAGTTAAGTCAGTTGGCACTTAAAATTGAAGAGAAAATATGAAAATTTAAATGATCAATATTTTGTACTAAGCTAACTTTCCCTGGGTGTCAGTTGCTTGTGTTAGCAAAGAGATAAAGGATTTTATTGAGGACACAGAACATCATCACTGACCTTTACAAACTTGGTTTCTGAACGTTGCCAAATGCAAAATTAAATTCCTTTAAAAGTAAAATGAATGATGAAAAGCATCAGAAGGTAAAAATTCCAGTAACCTTTCTTAACATCCCCTTACTTGGAAGAATGATGATTGTTCCAGTGTTCATGTCGGGCTGTATTTGACTGTGTTTCCAAGTATATTTCTTTGACAGCAGTGGTTTGTGAAGCAGCCTTCGTTTCTCTGCTGCCCTCTGTTGTGCTAGCATAGCTCAGCATGTGGCTTAAAAAGGATACCAGAAGTGTGCCAACTGGAAAAGAATCCTGGAGGGGGTGGGTGTTTAAAAATGGGGGGCAGGGAGGTCCCTAAAACATTATTTGCATAGCTGTGTGGCTACACAGCCCTTACATTAGCATGGTACAGTTATGGAGGGGGAGGGAGGGTAGGGCTGCATCTGAGGAAATAGTGCATCTCTTAAGTAGAACAACAATATAATAATGTGAAACCGCAGTCTAAACTGAGTTGTGCTGTTCTGAGGCCTTAAGAGTGAAGCAGCCTGATTCTCATCTGCGGTTGGACACTGTTGCCCGCTGTTGTGAAACTGACAGTTTTCTCCATGATTTTGGAGAAACTTTTGGAAGAAAGTGCAAAGAAATAATCACTAGATAACTGCTGAATGTTATGGAGAATTTTCAGCTAATACAGATGTTTGAGAGGAGATTCAGTGCAGTGAATGGAACTTACATGTTTTTCTAGGAGTACTTAGATCGGAGAAAAATGACGGAATTTGGCAGCATGGCTCTGATCGATGAAGGGGCTGGAGGTGAAGATGGTGTTGCCATTCCTCTTCCTGGAGTAAAAAGAGGTACGGCTTTTGGCTTTGCCGTCTTGTTACTAGTTTTATGTGGATCAAAATCTTTGACGTAGAGTCGATACCAGATGAGAAGGGTTTGAATTGTTCAGCTCAGTTTTAAAGTTAGTATTACCTGAATGTTCTGTAGCTGCAGGGATCTGTTACACGAGTTGTATGGGTGGGTCCTTTTGCATAGTAGAAGCGACAGGAAACGGGAGGTACTGTGGTCTCCTGGGTATGGAACCTAGCAGTCCTGATTTCATTTTCAAAGAGCAAAATTCAGTCCCACCACTTATTTTAGCTGTAAGATTTCTTGGACATGGACTGTCCTTTACTCACCTTGTCTTTAACTCTGCCAGGTTTTGGCATGTTACGCGTTATTCTTCAGCATAATGATAACAGCATAGTTAGAGTTGATAGCTAGACTGTGAACTTTTGGTAAATCACTTCTAAACTTCTTTTTTAGGTGACATGAGTTATCGACACTTTAAACCAGAAATAAGAGTAACTTGCCTGCGATTCTCTCCTACAGGTGAGTATTGACAATTAATGTAGGATTTTTTTTTTATTCCATATAAAACAAGCAAAAGAGTAGAGCATTAGAGGAGTAATAATGAAGTACAAATGCCTTGGAGATGGTCTCTCCAGATGTTATACAATGCTGCTAGGTTTCTAGTCTAGTTTCCTGTTCAGTGGATAATTAGGAAACTTAAGTGTACATCACTGTCAGCTGGTGGTTTTTACAAGCATCGTCATTGCTGACAGGTCCATCAGTGATGCATGGTTTTCAGTCTTAGCCACTCTTGTAAGCAATGAAGAGTCATCTTGTTTCTATCCTAGAAAACCCAGCTTTGTTCTTAAATATTGTTACTTCTCTTCTAGGACGAAGCTGGGCAGCCACCACCACAGAGGGTCTTCTTATCTATTCACTGGACTCTGGGCTAATTTTTGATCCTTTTGAGCTGGATATTGATGTCACACCCAGCAATATACACAAAACACTGCATCAGAAGGACTACACTATGGCTATCATCATGGCCTTCAAGCTGAATGAGAAGAAATTAATTCAGGAGGTCATAGAGGCTGTACCTAGCAATGAAAGTAAGTGGATCTTCCATGAAATTTGACTGAGCTAGCTGTTAGCAGAGATGTGTAAGCCAAATAAGTTGAAGTGTAAAGGGCAGAATTTAGCTCGGGGCGGGGCAGGGAGGGGAGTTACAACATTGATATTTAAGGACTTTACTGTAGCTGAAGACTAAAGAGGAAGGGATAGTCTTCTGTAAAAAAAGTAGGCTCTTCGGTGTTAACTTATGTTTTAATTTTACTGCATGTTCATCGAGTGACTTTTGAACATGGAATTTGATCAGGTCTGGATATGCAGGTAAAGTTTTTGGATGTCAGTTCTCAGAAGCAGCCGATGTTAGAGGGGCACAGCAAGTTTAACATGAGTTAGCGGTGTGCCTGCATGATTCAGACAGTCAACTGGATGCTGGGCTGTACTACCAAGGATGTAGTCGGCAGTTTGAGAAAAGCAATCAGTGCTCTTTATCGAGCACTTGTGAGAGCACATCAGGAGCACCGTGCATAGTTTTGGGCTCACCAGTACGAGAAAGACATTGATAGTCTGGAGCATCTGATGGAGGGCTTGGAAAATGATTGGAGGGCCAGAGCGCATGACAGCTGAGGAGAGGCTTAAGAGAGCTGGGTTTGTTCAGTCTTTAGAAGAGAAGGGGAATATTTTTACTGTCTTCAAGGGCCTAACGGGATGTTAGAAAAAAGGCAGAACCAGACTTGGAGTTGCACAATGATATGACAAGAGGCAACAGACCTCTCGCAGCATGGGAAATTCCAACTAGATATTAAAAACAATAAATATGTTGGGGGTTGTCAAGTACTGCAGCATGTTGACAAGGGAGGTAGTGGAGTCTCCATCCGTGGAAGTGTTCAGCACTCAACTGGATAAAGCTCTGTGCCAGCTGCTCTAAATTAGTCTTGCTTTGGACTGCCAAAATTTGGAGCAACTCTGCAACTGTCAGCCCTTTGAAGTTCTGATGATTTTTGTTCCTTTACTTACAGTGTTTGTGAAATTCATCCTTCTAAACAAATGTAAATATGGTCCTTATAGAGGGTTGTGTTCGCACAAACCAAACAGATTATTAGTTAAGTGCCAAACTCTTTTTAACAAGAGACAGATGCTTTCACAGTTGTGACATGTCAAGAGACAAAAGAAACAGGTAAGATGTCACTCAGCTTTGGAGGACATATACCGAAGTCATTCTTTAGCCCCCTTTCATCATTTTGGTAACTAATGTGCATGTTCGTTAGCTATAGATGGTAGACACGACCTTAAAAATAAACTTTCAGTAGTGTATTCTACTTAACTTCATAACTTCATTAACAGTTCTGTCATAGTAACTCTAAAGTATATTTTCTTACCTTTACCTCAGTGTTGTTGCCCCAGTAAAAAGTATTTATTTCCTTCCAGTGTTTCACATGTAACAAATAAAAATTCCTTTTATCTAGTCAAAACATGCTCGAGTCTGAAATCAGATGTGTTGCAAGGCAACCGCTTTGTAGGGTTTTCTTACCTTATTCCCTAGGCAGCAAGCCTGATAATTACACGTCAGGGTAAACCACCTTTTGCATACCTGCGTTGGCATAATGGTGTTTGCCTCTGTCTGGCAAAACTTAGTTCTCTTTTACTGAAGTTAACCAAAACTCCATGTACCCAGGCAATGCTGGGTAAATAGGCAGGTGCCAAAACCTCAGAAGCAGAGGATGAGGCATGGAAATTTCAGGCGTTGTAATCCACTGTTAACAGAATGAATGTGTGCCTGTTTCTTTAAAAGCAGAAAACTTTTTTTCACTGTTGAATGTTACGTAGGCCAGTTGGGCTGCAGAAAATAGGAGTTGATTATTTTTGAGAGTTTATATATAATGAGGTCATCATAGTTACATGTGAGATTATTTTGAATGCTTATAAATCGCGCTTCTTTGTGCTGCGCAATTACTAACAGCATTCAGACACTTCCTCTGTGAGCAGGCGACTTTGCTATCTTGACAAGTAGCCTTTATTGCCTCTGATTATTATGCCTAACTAGTTCCACTGAATACAGAAATTCGTATGAAGTCAGAAGCAACTTCAATAAAGTCTAGTTACACCGAAAGAGGAGGAAAGGATGGAAGTAAAAGTTCTGAAGGAGAGAAGGTGGGGAGAGTATTCTGGTAGGAGGAAGAACTTGGGGAGGGGGGGAGTTAAGTTCTTGCTTTTAAATACAGTAGTGATTGGAAGGCTCAAAGAGGAAAGACTTGCCTCCTGAGAGACTGTGGTACTGTACCCTGAAATACAATATTAAATATCAAATAGTTTCCAAGAGGGTGCTTTCTTCTCCTTCCCTATATGCTTTCCTATGGTCTCTTTCATGTTATTCCAGATAGTAATCCAACTCTGATGTCTGTGGGCTTTTTTTCTCTTTTTGCACAGTTGATGTTGTCTGTTCATCACTCCCAGACCTGTACGTGGAGAAAGTATTGGAGTTCCTGGCCTCTGCATTTGAGATATCTTGTCATTTAGAGTTCTATCTTATTTGGGCTCATAAGTTGCTCATGCTGCATGGGCAGAAACTGAAAACAAGGTGAGATATTGTGAAAGTCAAAAAGCTGACAAGCATTTTAAAATACCTGTCGGTTTGAGGTTTTTAATTAACAGTTACCTAGATAGATGCATATACAACAATTAAAACTACTTAATTTACATTTATTATTTATTAATTTAAGAAATATTACTTAAATATTTACATTTATTTATAAAATTTACATTTTAATTTAATACAACTTCTTACAACTTAATACAATTGGAATGCATAATAGGATTTGTGAGGATAAATTGCAAAAACATTTTTCAAATATTACAGGTAAAACTGCATAGCTTGCTTACCCTATAAATGCATAAAGATTTCAAGAGTGATAGGATTTTGGCAATTGTGTTTTTAAACAATTACGCATATTAAATATAACTGAAAGATAATGTGCAGGTACTGACTGCATTTTGTAGATTTAGCTTGTGATTACAGCATGCACTTTTAGCTTGTTAGTATTCTGCTTTCCTACATAGTTCTTTACAACTACACGTGCCTGCCATATGAATTATATTCAGCCCACCCATAGTATTGAGTTTATGAACTTTTGGGAACAAAAATAGGCAAATTTACAAATTTAAAATAGGCTAAGTGAGAGGCAATCTGAGAGGGAGTCCTGCAGGTTAAAGAAACAGTGCATTGTGTAACTCCTTCCTTGCTTCAACATGGGTACAATTAAAACTACTTAATTTACATTTATTACATGTACATTTAAGAAATATTACTTAAATATTTACATTTATTTATAAAATTTACATTTTAATTTAATACAACTTCTTACAACTTAATACAATTGGAATGCATAATAGGATTTGTGAGGATAAATTGCAAAAACATTTTTCAAATATTACAGGTAAAACTGCATAGCTTGCTTACCCTATAAATGCATAAAGATTTCAAGAGTGATAGGATTTTGGCAATTGTGTTTTTAAACAATTACGCATATTAAATATAACTGAAAGATAATGTGCAGGTACTGACTGCATTTTGTAGATTTAGCTTGTGATTACAGCATGCACTTTTAGCTTGTTAGTATTCTGCTTTCCTACATAGTTCTTTACAACTACACGTGCCTGCCATATGAATTATATTCAGCCCACCCATAGTATTGAGTTTATGAACTTTTGGGAACAAAAATAGGCAAATTTACAAATTTAAAATAGGCTAAGTGAGAGGCAATCTGAGAGGGAGTCCTGCAGGTTAAAGAAACAGTGCATTGTGTAACTCCTTCCTTGCTTCAACATGGGTATTAATGTTTTAGTTACTGAAATGACTGGAACAAATTTTCTCCTTTTGTTGCTGATAAAGTAGAAAAGGATGATTTAAAACAAACTATTCCTTGTTCAGAAAGTTTTGTAGTAGCTGGAAGGAACTGTCATCATTACAGCAAGCAGAATTAGTTCTTCAAGCTGCATTGTGACATTAGGAAAAAAAAAAATATTTCTGGCAATAATATTACTTGTATTGAGTATAACCATTGGGGGCAGAGTCAAAAGCAAAAAGTTTTTGTTTATTTACTATTATCTTAAAACGATCATGTTTAAAAGTTAGCATGTATGCTTGTTAAAATTTTGAGAATATAGAAAAGTTCTAGCTATCCATATGTAAATATAAATTGCACTGCAAGTTGCATGTTTTCTCCGTTCAAGGTCAGTGAAGCTGCTCCCTGTGATTCAGTTCCTTCAGAAAAGCATCCAACGTCATTTTGAAGATGTTTCCAAACTGTATGTATTGTTACATTTAAAAGTTTAAATCAAAACCCTGCACAAAAGCGTGGAGTAATTTGGGGGATGATAACGTGGTATTGGAACTTTTGAGACAGTCTTCTTTTAAGAGAAAAATGGAATCTTGTTTCTAACATGTTGCTATTTATTTTTACAGCTGCGAATGGAATATCTACAATATTAAATACGCATTGGCCGTTTCACAACAGCGGGGCATGAAACGTCTGGCAGAAGAAACATTGGTAGATGAAGACGACTTGGATTCTGACAGTGATTATCTTATGCAAGAAGTTCATAAAGACAATCTTAGTTCCTAGTTACTCTTCGTGGGAGGGAGAAAACCTAAGACAAAGTAATTTTATGCAGTGGTATTCACTGAGAGTGAGTGGCCCTCATAGTGGCATATTTTAACTCTTTTTAACAGTGTGGATGGAGTTACATGTGAGTTATAGAAGTGGGTGAAATGTAGGATAGACAGAGTGCCATCTGTGGTGTATTTGGTGTACCCTTTGGCCATAACAGCTTGACAGCACTGATTTCTTGATTCATTGATTTCTTTTTTTTACTCTTTCTGATTTCAAGTAACACAAAAATGTAGTCTTATATCAGTGAAGTCAGAAATATGACTGGAAGAAGTGCATTCTTTATGACAAATGCATTGTACATAGACTAAGTATTGTGAGTTATTTGTAATGCAGTCTTGTCATACTTTGTGATGGACTTTTTTTTTAATCCTTTTTTACGTCATTCTTAATTGGAGGTCTACATATTGCTCTCAACTTGTTTCAAATGTTGTTTTAATTGGTTTTACTATGTACATATTTCTGCAACACTGTTAGGAATAAACCATTTTTCTTAGTTCTATAGCTTCCAAACCTGATGAAGTTTCAATAATGAGGATAAATGATATACCTGTAACAACGAATATGGGAAAAAAAGTTTACTGTGCTATGTAACTTCTGCAGGGGTTTAATTAATTAATCCGAGATACTGCAGTAAAATTTTTTTTGGAAATTGCTAACTCAATCTAACTTAAACTGTAAGAGAACGTGTTACAAATGTTTCTTTCTCTCATGAAAGTCCTTTCTTGTCTTGTTTTTTTAAAATGTTTTTATTAACATTTGAAAATCTGAAACTTTTGGTTTCCTTGCTTTTGTGAATTGGCATGAGAATTGGCTAATAGCAACAGTGAGGTACTGAACAGAAAGAACTACATCCATGCTTGTGATGCTTTCAAGCCACATGTTGAAAGGGCTTTGTTAATGAAGATACTGCAAATATTAATAATGAGCCAGAATTGATTTTTTCAGTGTATTCTTTTGGATTTGTTTTCTGGTCTCTTTCCACTCTTGGAAGAGAGGAGAGGTATGAATATTAAAAACTGCTGAAGAAAAAACAAAGTCCAAAATACAGAGCAGGCACATACAGTCAGTTTGTAGAATATCATTATACAAAATAAATATGCACTTGCCACTTGAATAAAACATAGCAAAGTGATTTGTTTTGTTTTTCTTATGGTAAAATGTTTAAAAATATCTCCGGTTGCTGATCCAGTTCATGGTTGTGCCAGCGTTTCAGGGTCTCGGAGGGGTGAAGGAGTAGCTGGGTGGGCTGGAGCAGTGCTCGCGGAAGATGCTGTGTGTTACTGCGTTGGGATTTGGAATTGCTTGTCATTCTCCACCCCTCTGCCACCTCCTCCTACCGTGGCAGAAAGTAGGCTTTCTGCCCTAGGTAGAAGGGAGGCATGGGTGGGTAGGGAAGAAGTATCATAGAATCATAGAATAGTTTGGGTTGGAAGGGACCTCTAAAGGTCATCTAGTCCAACCCCCCTGCCGTGGGCAGGGACATCTTCAACTCGATCAGGTTGCTCAGAGCCCCGTCCAGCCTGAATAGTGAAGTAGTGCAGGAAAAAGAAAAATCCGTCTTGGGATCCTTGTAAAACTGAAGTGCTTAAACTAACGTGAAAAACACGATCGTGTTACCTGACATATAAACATAGTTGTTACTTCTTAATCCACTTCACTGGTTTTCATATACATGTTGTCTTTGCATGCTTTTTTAAAGACTGTATTCTTTTCTCAAACTATATGACCTGTAGCAGGCAGGATATTGGTTTGTTTATCCTGTTTTTATTAACGGCTATAGTCTCGGGAGCCTCTTGCTGCCCTTGTACTGGTGTGCTCCCCCTGCCCCTGCCGCGCTCAGGCTGTGCGCGCCTTGTGGCTGCTCCCTCTCACTTGCAAAAGGAGCCTGGTGCTGGTGTTCAAAACAAGTCCCAAGGATTTATTCCCATGCGCGTTTTACTTTTTTTACTACTGCTACTCCTGCTATTACTAAATGAG